ATTCTTAATGTTCTAGTTTAAAAATGCTGTTTATAGTGACTACCATGAACAATTCCTTTTGTGAGGACAACTATAGTGAATTTCCAAACGCAAGGATTTTATGATTATTCTGAACATTTCAAGTACTATATTCGATTTATCGAACCTCAGGAAGATTTTAACGGGGATATTTTGTAGCAATATGTCTAAGTGACTCAACACTGATAGCTATCACCAAGATGATAACCTCAAAATGAAATTTGACGCAATACTGAAGCATCCATTCAACAAGCCCATGAACAAAGAGTGACCGATCAATTTATGCCCAGTATGATAATCAAACGAAAATTACCAGCATCAATAAATAACAAATGATACCCATTACACACCAGGGGGCTCTGAATACTCACTAGGGTAGGGGATAATACTCTGACATTTGAAGCGATATATAATGAAGTTGAGTCACAGTGGGGACTGTATCATTTACTTGGATGCAGGTACATCCAGCAAGTGAGTCATGGATCAGATAAAATATCCATTGTGGACCCCACTGCTATCCATCACGAAATAAATGACATCAAAACAAAGCACTTCATATGCAGTATTAGTTTCATATTATTAAATGAAATGTTCATACAGTATGAGATAGTCAGTTAACTCCTATATATAACTCAGGAGTTATCTTACACCTGTACTCCTCAACCTGAATAGTAGTTTGAGTAACGAAACTGGCCGTTGTGTTTTGTTTACGCCGGTGGGATGAAGTTGGAAAAGTTGTGAGTAAAACTTTCTGACTAAAATCTGGCATTTCATCCTAGCCTGCATACGTACCAGAAGAAACTGAATCAAAATAAAGGTATTTTGAGAATAAACACCACCTTTCTTTTACCATAGTTGAAATCAGAACAGCATTAAATGGAGTCATTTCATTTAGATCACATTAAATGCGATCCAAGACAGAATTTAATTGATAATGACTTAGTATATAATCTCTGGATTTCTTTCTTAATAAGAATTACACTGTTATGATTCAGGCGAGAACTGTTCATAAAAGAGGGGAACTTTTCCGCCTCATATTCGTTGTTTAAACTTTGAAATTCCTTTATTTCTCCGATTCTTACCCTCATAAGGTGTTCACTGTTCTGAAATGTCTTAGAGCTACTAGCCATCAAACCTTAGCTAGTTTATGATGATACCTTTTATGTTTGAGTATTCATGTCTTTTGATTCCGCTTGTAGATCTTCGTGATGGAACTGAATAAAGACATTTCTCTTCCATTCCAGTTCCCGATGTATGACATATTTTACTAATATCAACTTGGTTATTGACTGACTGACTGCTGACAGTTTTTCTCCACTATTGATATGGTTTGCAGGATTACTCAACAGGTTCTTCAAGAAGCCTGTGAGCTGTAAAAGCTTTCAGAACCAATCAGGTCAGTTCAAAGTTTTCAATAAAAATATCACTATGTGTGTAATTGTCTGACTGAATAAGTTTACAGGAATCAATGAAAACAACTTCCAAACAGTAAGACTAATTATGCACATATAAATAGGTCGCTTTTGTGTTCATCATCAACTTGACAGTCAATCTGCCATCGTTTCAGGAAGCAAGAGGACACCGAAGGTCGATGAGTATGAAGAATGTTGTACAGGTCTTGGTTGCATTGCGTTCTCTTAGCTGGGTTGTTTACTTGTGAAGCTTTCATCATCTTTCTAGACAACAACATCAGCACTAACTTCAGTTTGAAGTGAGCTGTCAATATTTCTCGGTGAAAGCTCCATGGTTAAACGACCGAGCTCAGAGAACACAAGAAAACCAAGACCATCCACCTGAGCTACAAATATTCTCCACTATTTCATATCATACAGGTGTAGAAGTTATCTCCTACACCCAACAAAGTTCTTCTTTATTAATGATGGATAGTGGCTAGTAGTGGAATTCAGGACACGCTTTCCGTCCTATTTGGAACTTGTCAGCTGGATGTACTTACCCCTCAGTGAGTGATGTTGTTCCCACTAGGACTCAAACTTGGGACCAACCGCTTCAAATGCCAGAGCATTATCGACTAGCCCATTGAGTCACGGTAGCCACTTCTTGTACGATAACATAAAAAGTTTCTCCTTAATTGAATCCTGTTTAAGGATTCCTAAAAATAGGAAATTCATTTTAAATTCACATAACATGCCCAAAAATGTCAAGAAAAGTTTTTGGGACAGAAAAGTAAGGTTGAAGGCGAAATAAAAATTTAGGCTAGATTCGGTGGGATTCGAACCAGTGACTACTGAGTTTCCTGCCCGGTGGTCTACCATAACTGAGCTGCGAGGTCCAACTGCTAACCAGATTTTTGTTTCACTTCAGTCATCAAGGGTCTTGTCCAACAACCGTGTGAATTTGTGACGCGTTACTACCGCTTTATCGTACTCATACTGATTGTCCAATCATGACTTCTCACCTCAACCCAAATTTGAACAAGAGAGAGGGAGTACCATATTGATTATCCCTTTGACTGTCTAAGTGAGATAGCTGTGGTTTGTCAGACTAGTAAGTGTAAAATTTTGACTAAAGTATGCTCTCATAGAGCTAATGAGCAATTAAACCCAAGCATGGTTGCTTCCATCCTTAAAATTACCTCTGCCAAACAGCAGTAATTGCTATCGGTATTGATGGAAGCCATTGCTATAACTCAAATAACCCAAGAACAAGCAACAATTGTGGAAAATAACAAGATTCAGTGACTTTATAAAGTGTAATCGAATTCTTCAGTTACTTACTTTACATAATCGATTATATAAGAAATAATCCAATACAAGAAACTAGATATACGCACATAACACAAACTGAGACATCTACTGAAGCGTAGCAATATGAAAATGAATAACTCTTTCAGATTTTATGGTGAAGCGGAGTGTTGAGGTGGATGTAATTCTTCTTTAAGTCTTTTACAGTTATCAGGAGACAGTCGACTAAGAAGATGCCAATAATTGCAATAGCTTGTGCTATTCGAGTCAACAAATTGAAACTATATTTAGAGAAGGTAGTGGTAGTTGAATCTGCCATGGTAGTAATTCCAACTTAGTCTAGTCGTATCTGTTATTTCCTGTCTGCTCTTCGCCTTCAATTATTACATCTTTTTGATTGTACTTCTTTAGTCTTCTTAGTCTGTTCTGCTTAATCGACCTCATTCCTATTTCCAACATATATATGATTTTCTTATAATGCTTATCTCGATACGGTTACCTAGAGTCCTAATTGACAATCAAATGTTCCGATCAAAACGAGGTAATCTGTCTTCACGCTAGTGAATTTCCACTCCACTGTTCTACATTATTATTATTATCTTTTAGTGAGTTAATCACGGTTTGCCAGACTGACATTATTGATACTGAGTGATGAGTAAAGATGAAATGAAAACCCAAGTAGCTGTCTGCAGCTCTACCAACTTGGATACCAGGCCACGTAGGTCTAGCAAGTGGATCTCGTAACTCGGTTGGCAAATCACCTAGTCGGCAACTTGGAGGCCGCTGGTTCAGATCTTGCGACCAACTAGGATTTGATTCCACCAGTAGGATTATTTTTCACCCGAAACAAGCATGATTTATTAGCCTTGAATAATCGTCTGAATTTTTATTAAACTATTATCTATTCTATTCAGAATGATCCAATTTATCTTCAACCAATTCAATTTGAACATCCGTTCTAACCTTTCGGGTTACCAACTTAACTGTGAAAATCGCTCATTTCTATCGATATCTCGATTTGCCTTGTGTACGTGTACCTGTTTTCCTGCATTGCTTATACAATCAAGTATGTAAAGTATCCAACCGATGAGTTCTGCTAAAATTTACTAATCAATTGAAGAAAACTCTCTTCATTTCGTTAACGTTTCACTGACAGGTAAGAGAAGGCAATTCGGTGAAGAGAATTAAGCATAGGAAGACAAACAAAGTGCAGTACATACACTTCTGTAGCTGCTTACCGATGAAGTGAAAAAGAAATGTGATTAGTCATTTTAAGTTAGTGTTCACCGTGGGCTGACATTAGTCGAAGGAACATTGGAAACGTGGATAGCTGCCTCGTCCCAGCATGGGACTCCTCAGCAGTGCGCACCCATGACCCCACCCTTCACAAATCGAACCCTGGACCTTCAGGTCCCGTAACGAGCACGTTACCATTGAGGCACTGGATCGGAATCCCATGGTCCGATATTCACCATTTAGAATGCTATCAAGTGCTTGGAGGAATACTTAAAGAAGGAATTATAAGCCCTCAATGATATTTTAAAGAAGAAGAGATATCCTCGCAAGCTTTTAAAATTAATTATCACCTATAATGCTCTTGAAAATAAACTGATGACTATGGAGTAGAAACGTGTTTTTAAAAAATTGCAGTTTAAAGGATATACCCCACGTGAAGTCCTATCACAATGTCTGTTATCTAGAACAGGAAACAAAACATTCTTCTCAGAGCATTTGTGTTTATCTTTTGGTAGCCACGCAGTTTTCAGGCGAAAACTTAAGAACATAGCTTAATTTTTGCGCGTCATCACCTAGCTGTTCCTGCAGAGTAAGTTACGCAGGGGGCACAATAAAATATCTCCTACTCAGGGTACGACAGTACTCATCGAGTTGTTTGCAAAGAGTGAGGTCACATTCGTCAGAAGTTATATACTGACACACGCGGTAGACAAAAGAAATCATAACTATTACTGAGAAACATTGACTTCTGGAAAAATTATCAAGTGACAACTTTCTGCACCTTCAGCTAAAACAAGTCTAAACTTGCATTCAAAAAGAACTCATTTAAGCATTATTTTCTCTCTGTCTTTCCATCAACTAAATACTGCTTCTTCGTTCTCTAGTTTTTCTCATGCTTTACCTTCATCGCCTTTCTCCTTTCTGAAACAGAAATTTCTCCCGGATTTCTCTGTGCCTTTTCCATTTTACTCTAAAAAACCTTCAAAATTTTGTGAAAATTTTTATATAGTTCGTTTATCGTTCATATTACTACTACTCGTATTATCATGCTATCTTGAACATTTTACATATTGATGATGATGATGATGATGATGATGATGATGATGATGATGATGATGATGATGATGATGATGATGATGATGATGATGATGATGATGATGATGATGATGATGATGATGATGATGATGATGATGATGATGATGATGATGATGATGATGATGATGATGATGATGATGATGATGATGATGATGATGATGATGATGATGATGATGATGATGATGATGATGATGATGATGATGATGATGATGATGATGATGATGATGATGATGATGATGATGATGATGATGATGATGATGATGATGATGATGATGATGATGATGATGATGATGATGATGATGATGATGATGATGATGATGATGATGATGATGATGATGATGATGATGATGATGATGATGATGATGATGATGATGATGATGATGATGATGATGATGATGATGATGATGATGATGATGATGATGATGATGATGATGATGATGATGATGATGATGATGATGATGATGATGATGATGATGATGATGATGATGATGATGATGATGATGATGATGATGATGATGATGATGATGATGATGATGATGATGATGATGATGATGATGATGATGATGATGGAATACCCATTCTTCTTCTACGCTTCTGGTAGATTCAAGTCATTTTCTGTGCTAATCACTCGCCTGACAAAATAATCCCTTGAACTTTATTACTAATCTTCCTTCCTCATTTAGTATATGTTTACTACGTTTAATCATTAACCGTTCGACACTCGAAGCTTACATTCAACTTACCGTCACAATCAACATGCATATTTTAAATCAGGTTTTAAGTACAAACTTAAATGAATCCAGTTATTATGTTGTATCCATGTTTAAATGCATTTGACACAAATCCAGTTAGTGCTATGTGTTGAGAAATTTATAGTATAACTGTAGTGCTTGATAAGAAGTTACTGGAAAGAATATTCTTTGTTCATATATGAGCCTGAACTCAGTAAATCCTGCTCAAATCATATTCCTTGCTTGCTTTGAAGTTAAATTAATCCAGGTTGTACACTGAATTTATTCATACTTGATATTGTTACACTGATATTATAATTTGGTTGGTGGCGAGTAGCAGTGGGATCCAGAACGTATGTTTACTTTTGTCAACTGGATTTAACTGGATCCCAGTGAGTAATGGTGTCTGTATTTGGGACTCGAACCCAGTACCACTTGAGAAAACATGCGTCAGCGTAGGTGAATCACTTCCATACGGTATAACGAAGAGAGATCACGAGCGTCAGTAATAATAATAATTAGAAATGGAGTGTTTTTCTGAGGTGTAACGACAACATTTGGTTTACAGAAATTAACTACATAATTAATTTTGAATTTGGAGGTTTGTGTGGATTGATTTATTGATTTTAGGTCGGTATTCACTACAGAAAGAGGTCAGTTAGGGAACTATTAAAATTCTGAAAGCATTGGACATCTGTTTCGTAATAGTGTGAGACTCTTCCACAGTGCAAACCCATGACTGTGTAGGGAATCGAACCTAAGACCTCCGGGTTTCATGGCCACCAGTTTGCCAATGAGTCACTGGGTCGGAGTCCAATGTTCTACACTTTCCTACTGCTTTCAGTTGGCGATATACAATGACCTCTATCTAATTTCATCGTTAAGTAACTTTCCTGACACTGAAATTCTGACTCGGTAGCTTAATGCCAACGTTCTGGAACCAGAAGATCCTGGGTTCAATCCCTAGCGAGTTCATAGGTGCACACTACTGAGGAGTCCCACATTAGGACGAAACAGATGTCCAGTGCTATTGCGTTTCCAATGGTTCTCAAACTAATTTTAGTTCTAGGTGAATACCTTCTTGAAATAAATGAATTTCGAGAGCTAAACGTAGTTAATTGGGGATTTTTCTTTTTGAACACATGGATTCAAATCCAGATGTTTAGATTACTTTTATCCGTGAAAATTAGTGACCTACCAGTATGTCATACAATGTTGAAATAGAAGAAAGAAAGAATGAAGCTCATTGGATGTTTTCATATCACAGTAAATCTAACAATATGGTTGAATGTTCAACATGAACTCTGTTTTGTAACCTCAATAGGTAATATTTTCACTTTAGGTAGAATATTTTGCAAGTAAAATGAAAACAAGATATTGAGGCTTTAAAGATTAATTTTTTTCACATTTGACCCATATTTAGGACATTTCTGACAGAACATTTTTCTATTCACAGTCAAATGAAAATATAAAAATATCCCATTGGAACAAATTTTACAATCCGTAGTAAAAGGTTAACATTTTTGTGATATCAACAAAAATAGATATTGAAGGGTAACTGACATTTACTTTAATGGCTGAACGCAACCATTAATTATTCGATACATTTTATATGATAGTGAGTATTTTATCACTGGATGGAGAAAGGGAAGTAGGCCTAAGTGTTAGACGGTGGTTAAGTAGTTCAGAACATTTTGAAGTGATAAATTCAGACTGTGGGTTGAGAAGAAACCCTTTCCTTATCTAGATATAATGCAAGAATAGAACAAGAATAATGATAAAATCGGCTGTAAAGTTGAGAAGTATCTACACGAGTTTTTAAAAGTTAAACATTGAAATATATATGATACGTGAAGGATATTTCTGGGGTATTAATAAATGACCAGCATAACTGAATTTCCTTGGCTCTAATTAACCCAGTAAACTGGAAGTTGTATGTGGGATTACAATCTGAAGTTTATTCATCACCTATGTCTTCCAGATATGTAAAGTTGAAAAAATCCAGGTGCCTTAGCATTTCTGATATTTTCGATAGTTACTTACTCAGACTTTAATATAAGCATAAGACTTGGGCGCTGCGGTAGGATGTAACTCCATATTAACTTCGCTTATCTGATATACAGCAAGCCGAGACACAGTATTATGTATCTGATGTCGTTTCAAGCCTCAATTATTGCTGCTTACATTTCTCACCATATTTCTTACTTCTGTCACTTCACGACATAGTCCAATCTACATCCAAGTAGGGAAAATGGACCAACCCAGGGGCTCAATGTTAACGCGTTGGCCATAGAACCTGAAGGTCTTGGGCTCGATCCCTGATGGAGGGAGTCGTTCGTGCGCACTTCTTATGAGTCCCATACTAAGACGAAGAACCTGTCTAGGTCTTCCAAGGTTTCAAGCGTTTCTCCGGCTGAGGCCAGTGCATAATGAATACCAACCGAAAACCAATTAATAAACGTCCACAAAACTCCAGATACAGTAGAAAGACAGACCCGAATAAGATTAATAATCCAGAAAAATACTACGCTATTGCAATGCATGTACCAAAGCATAAATAAACAAAAGGGTGGGATAAAACCACTATAATTTAGTCTAATATAATTAGATGGAGATAAAAAGTGATCCAAATAATGGAGAAAATCTGCAGCTCAGGTTGATGGCCATCGTTGTGTTGCATTCTGTGAGCTTGGTTGTTCATTCGTGAAGCTTTCATCGTCCTTCTAGACAACATCAGCACCAACTTCAGTGTGAAGTGAGCTGTCAGTATCCCTACGTGAGTGATTTAGTAGCTTGCCTTCATGAAGTGGTCTTTGATTGGTTGTTTCCTTTGATTCTTGTGTCATTGACTATATAGACCTTCCTGTTGGCTGTTCCCCCGATTGACCTCTCTCCTTTCTGTCGTTTATCACTTCTTCTTTTCTATTGCTTCATAGATTCGGTCTGTGTTTATACATCTGTTAATTGCTTGCTGACTGACATGAATGCCAAACTTCTAGGAATTCTCTAATATTCTTTGTGTTTCCTCTGTCCAAAATTTCCACATTGTCGAAATTGAACTCATGTCCATAGTTGGTTTCCACGTGCATTGAAATGGGTGATGAAATGTCGTGTGTGCGGTTTAATAGCCAATCGGTGTTCATGTAGACGAAGGCGAAGGTGGTCACTTTGTCCAATGTGGTGTTGACCACAGTTATTGCAGATGATTTTGTAAATGATATTCCGTTTGTCTTCTTTGGTTGCTGCATCCTTTGGTCTGCATAATAGTGTTTGGAGGAAATTTGTTGGTTTATGAATGACCACACCGATTCCAAGTGTTTTGCCTCAGTAATCTTGTCGTGATTTCTGATATATTCTTTGTGTATGGTAGGATGATGCGTTTACTGATTTCTGTCAATGACTTTGTAGTTGGTGATGTACGGGATTGGCATCTTCTGATAAAGTTTCGTGGGTAGCCATTCTTTTTTAGGATGGATATCAAGTAATTTTCTTCGTTTCGCCATGAAGTTGTTGTACTGCAATGTGTTCTCACTCTTTGAATAGCATCTGCACGCAACTGATTTTGTGTGTTATTGGGTTGTTGCTATTGTAGTTGAGGATTTGGTCAGTGTGTATTGGCTTCCTGCACACTTGGGTTTCCAGCTTTCTGGCATTTGTCCTACTGACTAGAACATCCAAGAATGGTAGTTGGTTGTTTGACTCTGGTCCATAAAGTTTCAGATACCACACCAATAATTCCTTTAGTGTCCAGTCGTCAAATACTAGCCACTATCCATCATTAATGGAAAGTTGTATTATTTTAAAGGATTTTTTCATTCATTTACATACAGCACAAAAATGTTTTCCGTCTCTAATGCAATAGCTAATGGGAATCTTGTGACTATTAGTTAGGCGCTTTATGAGGAACTGATTGATTCTGGATACTCTATAACTTCAGCTATTATCACCTACAAAACTAATAAAGCTCTGGCGAAAGTAGGTATCTATGAAATCATCTAGCTTAATAGTGAGGTCACATGCAAGCCAACAACATAAGACAATGAGGCCTATGCTAGGTGAAGTGCTGACCGAAGGTGAACAATTTCGTTGACTGGATTCTAAGACGTTGACTCAATGACAGCGCACTTTAAATGTGAAACCAACTGTCCTATGCTAGAAAGTTTGCAAGGTCGTTGTGATGCAGTATTTAGGAGGAAGTAATTAATAATAATAATAATAATGGTGACAAAAGGAAAAAAGAATTCACCACATCTACTGTGTTACCCTACAGGGAGGGTACATCCGGAGCTTTCAGAAGATTTCTCAATAAACCTGAGATTAATGTGGCATTTAAGCTTTCAAAATTACTCAAGAACAAACCTTGTAAGTTAGGAGATTATACCGACCTAATTGGGCAAAAACTAAATTCGTTTACCAAATTTATTGTAACGATTACAGGGTTAAATACATAAATAGAGAAATAGTGGCAACCTGAGAGCACTGAATAACTGTTTCGTCCTGCCATGGGACTCCTCAGCAGTGCTCACTATGACCCCGTCATGGATCTTGAGTTCGATCATGGATATGCACTGCACATAAATAAGTCAGAGTGGTCTGCCTGGATTAGTTAAATTGTCCGACTCAGCACATGCTCCAGATATATAGAGAGTTTTAATGTACCATAATTAAATTACACAGTACACAGACTTTCCAATACTATGTTGAAAGTTTTACTGTAGACATCACAATGAGGGGAGAGAATTAGAATTACATAAACCATGTATCAAAGTTTGCAGGGTTACCTGAATAAATTATATCCAAAACACTGTTCAGTAAATATTACTGCTTCATCAGGTAACAACTAAGAAA